GTAATCATTTTTGTGGGGCTGCACTTTGCATCACACCATCCTACTTTGCACATCATGCATATTCACTAGACTCCACTGGAGCTTGGCTTTAGATCAAATCAAATTGTCTTTTCATTAAAACATTCATAGATGAATTTTCATACCCATAATGTGTTAATAACTTAATAAGTAAGAAAAACAATTTTCACTAGTTACGGTCTTTATTTACATATGATAATAATATCAAATAGATCATCAACCGCATTAAAGCTTCACTCATATCTTTTTTAATAGACCCAACTGGTGCACTTTGTTGTAATAATTGTTTATGTGCTGCTAACAGTTTTATCATCTGTATTCTCCATGTCTGTGATATAGCTGGGAAAGAGAGTAGAGTGGAAGTTTACATCATGCTGACTCCATTCCAGAAGTGAAGGAATTCCCTTTTCTGATTGCATAATGATGCAGTTATACATTGCTTTTGTCTTGCAAAGCTCATGCAGTTTAGATTAAATTAACTGTAGTCCTTAAGTTGGTGTAACTTATGAGGCAGTAAAACGCCTTCTTTAAACATGATTATATAACTTTAATATCACTGATTGTTGTTGAGATGTATATTGATCTATAAACAAATGGTTCCACTTGCTGTACCATCTCTTCTGTAAATTCATCTTTGATTAGTTGATTCAACATTCAGCTCAAATTCAAGTTCAAATTGTTCATGACTTCCAGGCTAGATTCAGAATTTTGACTCCAGGTTTGAGAATGTTTTCAACCCGAGTCCCCATAATCTGACCAAAAATTTAGAATCATACCCAGCATTTATCAGTTTTAATCTTTTTTATTTTGCCTTGAACAAAGTTAGAATCTCCGCATTGCCATTTTGTTGTGATTTATATCTGTATATACTTAATATTTGAATACAATTAAGAGGCTAAAAATATGATTTTAAGAGCTTTTTTATCTGAATTTGATTTTGTTGTGCTTATTTTTGGGGCTGTTGTGCAGAGGATATTTATTTGGTTGTGGTATATAGTACATAAAACATTTTTTGAAAGAGATACATTTTGGTAATAACTACTTTTTTCAAACCTGTTGTAATAGTCATATCTATTTAAGATAAAATGGGTAGCCCATTAGGCTACCTGGAAAAGAGTTTGGTTCCCAGCCCGAATCCAGTAGCCCAAAATAGGTATTTTAATATAAAATTCTTTATGATTTTTCTTATTGCAAGTAATTTATACTTGTTGTTCTTTGTGATTATTTGTCTAGTAAGGTTTTGTAAAAAAAAATTTGGAGGCTGTTATTATGTCTTTTAAAAGCTCACTGTGCTACCTGAATTTAGCTAGCCCAACTGTGGCATTTTGGTATTTCTGGGTTCTAATCATCATACTTGTCAAACTGAATCTGTATGTAAAGATAAGGTATGATAGGTCTCACTAACTTCAATACTTGTATATTACAAAGGTAACATGACGTCACTTGCATGAAGTCTCTTTGATGGTCCTTAAATTACAGATTTAGCTGTGCATGTGTGTAATATAGAAAAATGTACAATGTGCAGAATGCTTCTGTTTCTACGTCTGTAAAATTATTTGTCTGTATTGGCACACATTTCAGTATTATTATTAGTATTAGTACAGCCATCACAATATTAAATATTACATTGAAAATACCAGTTATGTAAGATGTTTTAAGGTACTTAAATTTCCCGTCACTACTGTAACTTCTGATTTGTATACTCTGTTAATCATACTTTTGTCTGTTGTTTTTTTACCACCATCTTTAAAGCAGGTTCAAAGAAATGTTTGTCCTGAATGGGTACAGACAGTGGACTTGGTTATCTTTATCACATGATCTAAATGTCACATGATTGGCCTTGCTCTCCAGTCATTTTTATAATTCATTTTGTTGCCACTCTAATACATACTTGTACAATTGAATTAAACAAAGTGATACATGTACATATTATACTGCTAATATCTGCACAGACTTTATAAATTGCATTTGGAAATTTTGTTTATTCTTCAGGGACATGTGTTTCTAGACCACAACTTTGTTACATTTTACTTTAAAAAAATGTCGACAAATTTATTTGCAGATACACATTTCAGAGTTACATGAAATTTATCAAAAATTTCCACAAAATTTAGTTTTACATTCTGTGAGTTTAATATCTAAGACCAGGCTGTGAAGTACAATTTAAATGTGTTTACATCAGGGAGCTCTCAGTAAATTTTTACAAGAGTGTCATTTATAAAAATGGCATTAACAGCTGCCTCGCTAGGTGCTCAGCATTAAGAGGTTAGTGTTAGGACTGGTTGGCCTGGTGTCAGGATAATGTAACTGGGTGGAACATCATGCTACTTGCCTGTGGCATGATGCCTCAGTGCTAGACATCACTATAAACTGCCACACTGCAGACATCATAGTGATAAGACTGCAAAATTGTTAAAGCTATTTTAAAAATCCACATCACACAGATACACACAATAAAAAATTCATTCATAATATATATCTTTCCATATTACCTAACAAAATATGTGTAATATTTCATCTATTTTAAGATCTGTCATAATATATGATCATTTCTTAATTAGAAGGCAGTAATAGCAGTAATACCAGAGACAATTTTACAAATTGGTGGTGAGATTGATGAACCCACTACATATCTGTAAACTTAGTTGAAAATCCTATTTTCAGTGGCCAGCAAAATGTTGTACAAAAAGTTGTCTTAATTGCTGTATTTTAAACAGCTGAGAGAAACCTATGATCCTTTCATATATTTTGCTTTATCCAGTATGAGTGACTTTTATTTCATTCATGACGTGTGTGTGTGTGTGAGAGAGAGAGAGAGAGAGAGAGAGACTCCTAAAGCAAAATTGAAAGTAATGTAGAAGACACTGGATATTACCAAGCTAATTGAATCACTACATTTGAGCTGTTTGTCTGTAGATCATAAGTACCTTTGGGTCGTTTTGGTGGTTATTGACATATCCCATCCCCCCATCTCTCTCTCTCTCTCTCTCTCTCTCTCTCTCTCTCTCTCTCTCTCTCTCTCTCTCTCTCTCTCTCTCTCTCTCTCTCTCTCTCTCTCTCTCTCTCTCTCTCTCAAAGGTTATTAAAATGTAATGATGAATGTAATTAGCTACAGGAAGAACTTTTTTCATTCAGAGATTAGGCTTCATCATGCATACAAAGACTGAAATAATTTCAAGGCTGCCATAGATAATATAGTTGTAGATTATTATATGGCCATGACAGTGTAAAGTTTTGTTCGTACTTCCAACTATTTGCAAAATATTCAACATTAAAGAAGCATAACTTGAGATCTCCTTCAAAGAACACATTTTCTGCCTTGAGGTTGAATTACTTCCTTATTGCTTATTATGGAGGTGTGATCCTTACCCTCATTGTGAATATGAAATGATGATATAAAAAGTATTTAAGAGGTAGTGGTCACAAATAAAATTACCTCACATTAATAATTATAAACCATAACTTTTCTTAGCCTATACAATTTGAAATAAAATTACACTATCATTTGTATGTTCTTTGTACTCATAAAATGTTTTTAAAATGTGCTTAAAAATAAGCTCTTAATTTATCAGTTATTTCCCTTCACTCCCTCTCTCACACACACACACATACACTTAAATTGATGCATATATCAGTGGTAAATATAATGAGATTTTTTTTCTCACTGTTAGAAATTTGTAGTTGAGTGATGATTAATAGTGATTACATAAACAAGGCATAATGTAGGACATGTATAAAATTAACCACTGACTACATCATTCTGCTGGGAACATATTGATTAGGAAATTTGTCAAGACATCACAGTGATTCTCTGATTAGCTTTTAAATTGTTAGATAGAACTGTGTTGCATTAACTGGTCAGCAAGGTTGATTTACAGGGTATGCCAATATGTAACTGGAGTAGTCATGAGATATATAAGAATGACACAATTTCCTGCATTTCTAGTATCATCAATTGCACGAGTTTGAGAATTTGTTGCCATGGATATATCGTTTTATCAGCCTGTATGTTTGTAGTTGTTACCCTGTATACGAGATGATATTACACTTAAAAAACTTATATTAGGTGTGGGGACCCAAGTGGCCAAGTGGTCTAAAGCGACCTCCGTTACAGATCACTGCCATCTCACCTCTGTCTTCGTGGGTTTAAGTCTAAGATTCAGTGAATGTGGATATGTGAGAAAGCTTGCCAGTAGCTTCTCGTGGGTCGGTGGTTCTTTCCGCGGATTTCTTGGTTTCTTCCTCCACCATTAATACTGGCCGCCATGTATAGCCTATCGTGTGCTGAAAAATGGCGTTAAGCCTCAAGACAACAACAAAAAAAATATATTAGGTGTAATGTTAAGAGTTGTTTCTTTCTTCATTTTTGTTTGCTCCCTTAGCATTTGTCACAAGCAGTATTAAAAATTTGCACTAGTCAGAAATTCAGTCATGAAAAGACAAGTGGTGTGGTATTTACATTGTCTTTTGTAACATCTACAAAGACTATGTACACTTGAGGGAACTGACTATAAAATCCAAACAAAGGTTTACCTGATTAGTCAAATCCTTCCAAATCAAAAACCCTTAGAACCCCCCAAAAATTCTGTTTAGAGAGGTTTTCAGTTTATCTTATGTGGAAAGAAAAATGGTGTTTTTCTAAGTGTTAATGTGAGAATAGATGTTTTGTATAACCAGGTTGAGACTTCAGTGTTTTTGGATCCTATCTTGACTAAACCATTGCTATTCAATATCAATAGGTTTGTTATGTGATTTAGATTTTTTAACATAGCTTTAACAATTTTTTCAGTCATATTACTATGTCTGCAGAGTGGCAGTTTATATTGATGTTTAGCACTGGGGCATCATGCCGAAGACATGTGGCATGATGTCCCACCTAGTCACATTATCCTGACACCAGGCCTACCAGTCCTAACACTAAACTCTTAATGCTTAGCGCCAAGCGAGGCAGTTGTTAGTACCATTTTTATAAGTCTTTGGTATGACTCGGCTAGGGATCGAACCCATGACCTCCAGCATCAGAGGTGAACACTCTAACTGCTAAGCCACCAGAGCAGTCTTCAGGTAATGAATGACATTGGTTTGCATCATTTTCAAATTGATTTTTTTAGAATTCAATTTGTTTTAGAAGCTCTTAAACAGGATATGTTTTTGTGTTAAACTGGTCTTAAATGTAAGTTTTGGCACAGAGTCATACTCACTTAACAGCCTTAGTTTATCTAGTAAGGATAATTCATTCCTACAGTTCTTGGCTGGTCACTCTGAAATTGTGACATCTGAGAGGAGACAAATGAGAGTCATGGCTACTTAAAGATATGTATGTAGCATTTTTTTCACATGGAAAATCATTTTTAGTGAATCTGGCTTTTTTGTCTTTTCATGGTTTTAAGATTAAATTTAAAAAAATGTTCCAGTCATCAAGTATAAAAATAGGTAGCTTCAGTGGTAATCAGATTAATATAATCTTTCATGGATGATTTACCTTTAGTCATTTTGCCGTAAAATGTAGCTTTTTTTATGGTGGAAAGACTTTTTAGTTGTTACCAACCTAATCTGTCAGCACATGTGTCAAATGTTGTTTTTACCACATGTGCATGACATTTTATGTTTTTTTTTATCATGCAGTCCTAAACAGTACTTGTTAGCCATAATTAATATGGTCCAGTGTGAGACATGAATTTTAGCAGCTAAATTGCATTTTCAAGTTTGAAATGAGGTTCATATTTTTATAGGGTTTGGGGGCATAAAATTGAAACTGAAGTTCAAAATTTGTTTTGGTATTTGGAGTGGGGGGGTCACTTTGAAGAAAACAGATTAAATTATATTATGGACTTGGTTATGGGGGCAATTTTGGTTTGCATAGGTTTTATGTTGTATTATATAGTAATTTGTTCATCAGAAATGTTTTTGTAAGTAATAAGAAGAAATTTTGAAAGAGTTAAAACTCATAAATGACTGAAATTTATTATCTTTGAACAAAACAACATGTACATGTTTGAAGAACATTTGAAGTACTAGAGTTGTTTATTTTAGAAGGGTTATGGACATGCTTGAGGGATATAACACCATACCACAAAATGTAAGTTACTGCAAACATTCATTTCAGGTATGACTTTAAGTCAGACATTAGAGTAGGTGACTTTCTCAAGTACATTTACTTGAGTGTGCAGGAAGGAGTACTCCTGTTCAGTGAAGACATTTTTAGTTCCATATAACATATAATTTGGCCAGTATTAACTGTACATACTGTATATTGTTAAAGTGCATTTGCTCTCAGATATACTGTACATGTGTTATATTGTACTATCATTTCAAGTAATTGTTATTGCCAGTCAAAACAAAGTCTTTTAAAGTTTTGAAACAATGCATTTACGTCTTTCCCATTTTATATATTAACATATTATATCATCATGGAATTAGCTGTATCAACAGACTGTATACAGAATATGTTTTTCTCTACCATAGAATAATATTTGGGGTTTCACCTTCAATATTCATTAAAATTTGTGTTGTTTAAAGTTACCATAGCATTTTGTGTTATGTTTTGTTTCTTGTATGTTTGCAGATAAAGGTATTATGTTCTTTTTCATATGTTGTCTGCATGGTCTCTCCATCCAGTTGTTAACATGCAAATTGGAGGTATAATCATGTAATTTTGCCATAATCATTGGCTTATCCAATAATGGATTGAGGGACTTTCATGGAATTTTGCCAGAGTATATATGATGATTATATAGTTTGTTGGTTACCGTAGCCATGTGTACATGCCTGAAGATCAAGGCCAGGACAAGGGAAAATTAAATCTGGGATTAATTCTGTGTCTGGTGTATGACATTTGAGCCACAGAAGATATTAAAATGAAACTTTGCACTATTTTTTATAATGAATAGACGATATGTCACTTAAATCAGCCACACCATTTGCTGTAGGGTCAAGGTCCTTGTGAAGGAAAATGCAATTTTGCAACTTGTATCTTATTTGTGAATATAACGTTTAAACCAATGAAGATAGTTTAAGTGAAATTTGACAGGGTATATGTAATGAAATAATGATGTGTCGCATCAGGTATGCCTGATGCATCAGGGTTTTTATTATGAGAGGAGAAAATGTAATTCATTGACTTGTGTCCTTGCTTACATTGTAACCTTTGAACCATTGAAAATATCTAAATGAAACTTTAGCTAATTATATGTCATGTTGTTGGTGTGTCATATGACCATAACCATGCCAACTATCTGAAGTTGAAGGTCACAGCAATGGTAAAAAGTTACCTCCGACTTTTATCCTTTTCTGTAGAATTACTTTTGAAGCCTGTTAGATGTTTGTAAGAAACTTGAATCCAGTTATATCATGATGTGACAATGTGTCACATACAGTCTCCATGACATCTTGCTAAAGGTTAAGGTTGCTGCACGGAAAATATATGGGAATAAAATAAAGATGTCATTGATTTTGGTGTTTTACTTTGCAGCAACAAAAGTAGTTTATTAAGTACTTAGGCGGTCAAGTATAGTGACTTTCGCAGTGGTACACATGGTTAATGATCCAAAATGATCCAGTTTTAGGATTCGGATTCACATTCTTTTGTTTGTATGTTCAGCGTGCTAATTATGGAGGCACTTTACTGAAGTCTATTATATATCTTAAAGTGTATTAACAGTAGTACCTCCAGCCTTAAGGTCAAGGTCAATGGAGGGGATTATTTCTATTTAAAACCCCTAAGGATATTTTGATGAAACTACCCATGTCCAGTGCTTATCATACAGTAATCAAGTTGCCAGTTCAGAGGTCAAGATCATTGGTAGGAAGGTCACAAGATGGGTGTATCATATGCCATTTGCATTACTACTGTATAATGTTATAAATGGCATAGCAAATGGTTGATATTGCCTGAGAAGCAAGCAAGGTGTGCAATCTAATGAAATGGCAACATCAGGGCATTTTATGTATTGAATGAAATTGATAATGACACTTTTTATATTCAGTATTACACATGTCTCTAGTCAGTTAGGCTTAATCCAGCAGTGCTGCCTTTACCTGAGTTTTTGGACACCCTAAATCATTTCTCAGTACATTGTTTTACTTTAAAATCTTTTAAGCTAAGTGGGGACTTCCAAATCAACAGATAAAGATACTTTGCATCTTAGCCTCTTTTAGTGAGTTTTATGAACTTGTATGTTATGTTGAAAACATTTTCATGTCAAGAGTTAATACAGTTTATGTATACGGTCATTTTTTTAAAAACAATTGTTTTATTCTTGACTGATTTTTGGGATGCATTACATGAGATATTTGCATGAAGAAAGAGAAAAATAATATATTTAATACAGCACCTTGTATTAGAAAAACAATGATAGTGTCATGTACTGCTTTTAAAGGGCATCAGTAGTTTTGCCATTTTTTAATCACATATATCATGTGGAGAAATGTTTGGAAATCATAATTTTTAAAATAAAAACATTGGTATCATAAACTTGAGTTCTTAATATCACTGTTTACAGACACAAAAATGTTTTGACCAATATAATTTGTTCATGCTTTGTAATTTATGTATTGTTTGAAAATAACTTTATTTATTCACTCGATGTTTTTGAACAAAATTGTAGTCTAGCAGTACTATGAGATACACAAACTGCTTATCATCAAAAATTGTCTCAACAAGTTGCATGTAGGATTAAAAAAATTATAAGAAAACACTCATGTTTCACATTCTGTTAGTTCATTGACAATGGTATATAATAAATAGCATTGAACTTTACAACTATAAATTTACTCACCAGTAGATAAAATATTTGAATTTTACAAACACTTAAAAAATGTCATCCTTTATTAAAAGAGATAAACATTGAAGACAAAGTCTTGATTTTGACAATTTGGAGACCATAATAAAACCTGCATCCAGATATGCACCAGTCTCATTTGTAGGAATCAGTGGAAAATAATGTATAAAAAACTAACAAATTTAAAAAGCCAACATAAGAACATCTTTTATGTGCTTTTTATATTTTTATGAATTCTTAATTATTGCAGTCTATTATCATTGGCTTTTTGACTTGTACAAATTTTTGCATCTTTCTTATCATGTATCTTATATGAGTGTAAGAAAACAACCAAACATATGAAAAATCTAAACCCAAGCAGACAAATTCATAAATATGATATTGGGTTATTTTTTAAGCCACACAAAAGGTAATTACAGGCTATGTGTATATTAATGAATGCAACGGACATTATTTTATAGTTTCATCTAGTTTTCTTAGTCAGCAAGAAAGTGTAATCATATTGAAGAATCCATCTTGTTTTAATGTCCTTGCATCATCTACCGCTGATGAAAATAGGCTTAAATTTTACTTGGATTGTTCACAGAGTTTTTCAGTAAATACAAACAAAATGACAATAGATATTGAAGGACTAATCTTTAGTATAGTTTACCAGGTAGTTAAAACAATAATACATTTGAGGATCATATGGCAGTGTTGTCAAATATTAATATTACTGTAACGTAACCCTCAAAAAACAACAAATCCCAGTTTGTGCAGTTTGCAATAATTGTGTGTTTCTGGCTTGTTTGTTTTTACTTCTGTTTTTGTTGAATGAGTTTTCTGCATAATGTGCCAATATTTTAAAAAGTTATGTTGATGAGTTTGCATTAAGCAAGGTGTCACATCATCACTTGTGTCTTTTAGTGAGATGCTGCATCTGCAATATTTGTTTTTAGTGCAGTTTTGCATTGGTGAGTTGACATTGTATTACACTATAACCCACTAAGTTGTTTTAGGCCCCTGATACTGACACTTTTTCAATGTATATTTTATCCTTTAGAAAACAACAGCATTTTAAAGTCATTATATAGGTTACAAAGGCTATGAGAGTATTATTATATTTATTATGCAAACACAGCTGTCAGTCTGATGACTATAGAAATAAAAACAGTTTCATATTGCCCTACTACACCCCAAAGCTAAGCTTTTAAACAGTTTTGTGAAGTATTCATTGTGGCATAGTTAATGGACATAACATGTGGGGTTTGTTTTTAACGTCTGAAATGTTTGGTAAAGA